ATACGTTGCCCAATAATAATTTAAGAGATGATCAACCATTTGAATCCTTATGTGTCTGAAAACATTGTCATTATTTTGTACTCTCTCCTAAATGTTAGTTTAGTTGGGTAGAGAATTCTAAGTCAAAAACAATTCCCTTAGAAAACTCTGTCCCATTATCTACCAACATCCATTGTTGCAGATAAGAAGTAGGTGAACTGGTAAGAATTTCCATTTTTATCCTTAATGCCTTGATGGTCTGAAATTCCATCATGATGTGTTCAAATGTGGTATTTTTTTACTTATGCATTGAATAGGAGCTTTTAGCTTAAAGTCACTGGAACATTATTTGTCATTTATTTGAGTATTTCTTTCCATCCATTCTCTAGATTTCCTTTAGATGAATGTTGGAACTTCCGGATTTATTCTCCATATTACTTAAATTTTTGCTCATTGTTTTAATTCTTTCTTCTGCAATTTAGGAGAAAACTGAGCCCAGTCTTCCAGTTTACTAATTCACCCTTCAGTTCATCTTGATTAGGAACAGCATGGTGATTGAAAGCCTGAGGTCAAATCCTGGTTCAGCCACTTATTACTGTGTGACCTTGAGTAGGTTAATTAACCCTTTTGTTCTTCAGTTTACTCAAATATACAATGAATATACTAATAATATTGCCTGTTTTATGAGTATTAAGATAAATATGTCAATACATGAATGCATAGGAGAGTACAGCACACTATTACTTATTATTGTTCAATCTATTCATTTAAAAATTTAATAAACATATTATTTAATCCTCCAATTGGTTTATTTTTATACTAACCTGGTAGTTTTATAAATATAAGATCCTGTATTATCCTTCTTAGAAAAAAAATATATATAGCATGAAGGTTCTTCTTTATTTTATTTTTTTAAATATTGATTCAGCTATGTCTTCATCATTCCTCCTTTTTAAAAAGATTTTATTTATTTATTTTTGCAGAGGGGAAGGGAGGGAGAAAGAGAGAGAGAAACATCAATGTGTGGTTGTCTCTCATGTGGCCCCCACTGGGGACCCAGCCTGCAATGCAGGCATGTGACCTGACTGGGAATCGAACCTGCGATGCTTTGGTTCGCAGCCTGTGCTCAATCCACTGAGCTACACCAGCCAGGGCATTCTTGCTTTATTAAAGATAGCTTTGAGTGTTCAATACATTTGTTGACTGAAATTAGTGCCTCTAATAGTAATAGCTTCTCACAAACATTAGTAATTCTGGATTGTCTGATCATCTTAGCATTTGGAAATCGCCTTTGCCTGTCTGTAGTGCTGATTCTAATTCTGAAGGATCGCTTTGCTGATTGTGGTGGGAAGAAGAGCAGGACAGGACATTGCATAGGGCGGGCAATGCAAGCAGTGTACCTTCTGCATGTGTGTGTGGTCCCATTTCTCCTGGCAACTGGTGAGCAACTCCAGGGGCTAATACTCTCCCCCTGGCCCAAGCACCCATATTCACAGAGAGTGGGTGTCAGGGCTGGGGGGTGAACACATTCATCTGCTGATTTCTATAACCCTGCTTAATTTTCTTCATGTCACTTATCACCATCTCAAATAATCTTATTTACTGATTATTTATTTATAATTATATTATTTGCCTCAGTGAAGTCAAATCTCCGGGGCTTTGCATTGGGTCTTACACAGAGCAAATATGAATATTTGTTGAATGAATGAAAGAATTAATGCCATTCTTTAGCTACTCACCATGATGAAAGTGCCTGCTCCTTATAGCCATTGCTTTTGAGCTTGAAATCGCCCTAACTCTCACGCTATACAGTTCTCTTTGTGGCTGTACTGGTGATCCAGTCCTGTCTGCCTGTGTAATCCAGGAAGTCTTCTGAATTGCTAGACCCCTGATACTGCCTTTTCTTGTCTTTTAGAACTATAATGAATTTTTAAAAAAATACATTTTCTGTTATATTCAGGGATTTGTGGTGACAGACGATATACCGAGTGTGTTTTCATAAGCTCCATCAGCAGTATTATGATTCCCACAGTGTTTATTTCAGTTGGAGCATAGATTTGACATTAAGTAGCAGTGAACCTAATATAGAGAACATAACCCCCTTTGGAATTCTCTCTTTTTTAATAAATATTTTTAAGATATAAAAATATTTTGAATATACAAAAAGATACAGAGAACAATATAATGAAAAGCCATTCGTGTAAAGGCAAAGAAGAATAAGTAAGTTCGATGTCATTGTTGGAGCCTCCTTTGTGCTGTCCCACTCCATTTCTCTTCCTCTCTCACTGTCCTGAAGTCGGTCTGTATCCTTCCTGCCCGTGTCCGGGCTTTTTATAGTACACTACATATTTAGACAGATATAAACAGAATAGTGTATTGTTCTGCAGTCTTTCAACCTGCACGTAAATGATATCAGTTCTTTCGATCCTTTAGATTACACCAAGAAGAAAAATCTCACGTTGGTCAGGTTCTGAAAGGAAGAGCAGGCCTCAGGATAGGAGCCTTAGGCAGGCAATGATAGCTGGCTAGAATGTAATGATGTTGCTTTATTTTCCATTGTGTTTATTTTAGTGGTTCCCCTCTACTTTAGCAAGTGTTGCTAGCTTTCCATTTACAGTAGTGATTTATATTTCCTTTTAAATTAAATGTAAAAACAGAAGTGTTGATTTAAGAAAAATATGATGTAAATGTAAGTAAATAATATAAGTAATATAAGTAAAAATATAAGTAAATAATAACAGTATAGAAGGTACACAGACATGGCAAAAAGATTTAGGAGTTTTTTGCTGAAATTTGATACACACTTGACCTAAAGAATAAAGTTCAAGTGCCTCAGGGGATGTGAAGCTCTACCTGACCTGAACTCTGCTTTCTTCCTTAGTCCAGTCACCACTTCACCTACAGCACAAACTGCTTGGAGTTTCCACCTTCCCTGATCAGCTGGAAGTGCCTTGGCTGTTGTAACCTCCCCTTTTATGGTGTTTCCTGCAGCCAGCACCCCTGCCTCCACCAGACTCTCTCATCATCATTCTGGCTCCTAGGAAGCCTTCCTCCACGTAGTATACCCATCACCGTAATGAACATACAGTTTTGTAATGTAAGTCTAAATGCAAGGGTAGGATTCAGTGCCACTAACACGGCTTGCTCATGGCCTGAAATGCCTTACTATTTATATAACACCGGAAGAAAAGATCCATTTGTGATATTTCAAATAAAATCTGCAGTATAAATGTAGGTTCCTCACAAAAAAAAGTTTCATTTTAAGTATGTTTGGAGTTTTAGAAATAGTTCTGTTCATAGATCTCAATACCTGATCTTAAGTTATTTTCTTTCAACACTGAGAAGGTACATTAACTTGTCATCTAGATTAAAGGTAAAAAAGGGACATAGAAAAATAAAAACAGTGATAGGACATGATAGTGTTTTACGGCTTACTTGATGGCTTACTTCACACCACTTATTACCTCAAGCTAGATTTATTAAAAAATGAGAGATGAAATGGAGTGTTTTGAGTATAACACGTTTAAATGTTTGTCGTTTTAATGGCAAAATCTCTTAAATTCTTGCAGCCATTGAGATGTTGGAACAATTTTCACGTTTCAAGATCCACAGTAGATATAAGTATACACAATAATACTAACAAAAGCAGCACAGGGAACGCTTTTAAAAAGTCATCTAATGTCTGAAGTCTGTGAACTAACTGCCTGGGCATTCATTCATTCATTCATTCAAAAGCCTTATTCTGAAGCTGACATCCACACCACACGATTAAACTCGATCCCCCCTCCCCCCCGCCCCGTGCTTTCGGCCAGGTTAAGTTCCCATCTTAACAGAAGTACCAATAATCCTTCCAAAGCTATTGCTGTATATGGGAGAAAAATTCAATTGCACCATTTCGTCCTATGTATTTCTAGTAGCCAAGGCTGGAGAGGAAGGGCTGTGCGGTGCGAGTGCGGGGTCGGGGGGGAGGGGGCGTGAGGGTGGGCGGGTACGATGACTGAGGGATGTGACTCCACACTCTTGATCACAGAACGTCAAGTTTAACACTGTAAACGTTCAGCCTTCGAATGAGAAAGCGGGCGGTGTGAAATCGCTCCGGCCGTACATCTCGTACGTTAACATCTTACCCGCCAGGCAAACTTTCTCCGTCAGTCTGGGTAGATCAGCCGCGGAAACGCAGCCTGAAAGGGAATTGTAGGGTCCTCAGGCGGCACGTATTGCCTTGCCCAGTGTTGCCTTTGGAGTTACCTGAAGCATTCAAGCTATTGCACCCAGAGAGCAACCTTCTCGGTTCAATTCGGTCGTTTCCGTAGGGAATTGCGGCACGGGCACGTCCTGGGTGTGGCGATGCCAAGAGGAAGCTCAGATCCCCAGCTTTCCCGCTTCTGGCAAACCTTTCCTGCCCCAAAGCGGCGAGTAACCGTCCATCCGGGATCCCGGGGACCACTGGCGGACCCGACCCAGAGGCCAGGGCAAATTGGCGAGGCGCGGGGCTGCGCGCAGTGTGCTAGCGCGCTGCTCCCCCATTCGTTCGCGGCTGGAGGCGGATCCCCTTCCCAGCACACAAGTCCTTATAAGCACCGGTTGCACCAGCCCGCGTTACTCCAACCCCACAAATAATTAATGGGGGAGGGAGGGGCATCACTTTTCCCCCCTGAATTTTTTTCAGCGCCGGAGTATTTGACCCCTTCCGAGAGTCACCCAGACGCTATTCAAGGGCCATATTGCTGCAGTGCATGAATTGGACACACAAAAATGTGTGTGCCCCAAAAGCTCCTTTGCCCCTAAGATATGCGCTGCAAGGTTCAGAAACAGCTCTCCAGATCCATCCAGATTAGCCGGTAAGCTTCAGGGCGGAAGGGTGCCCTCCCCTCCCCCATCCACGCTGGTGCAGAGGGACCGGGTCAGGAAGCGTGGCCTCTCCCTAGTCGGAGACCACGCCTCCTCCGCCTCTTTCCTCCCCCCTCCCTTTACTCCTCCCAGGAAGCGATGATAGACAGTTCTGTGTGGTTCTCCACCCCCAACCCCCAGCTGAGTGGAGGAGTTGATGTGTCTCATTATAACAGCCAATGCAGCCGCCATCCACGCACAAGCAAAGAAGCATGTCCCATTTAAATACACCCACGCAGCCCAAGCGCCCTTAGCTGATCAGGGCGCGCAGCCCACACGCACCGCGGCTCCTGGCTTGGAGGTCCCGGCAGGTTGGGCTCCCGGACCCAGCGGAACAAGGAGCGGAGGATCGCGATCCGGCGCTGTGGATAAGGGGTGGGCGGGGGAGGCTGGGCCCGGGGGCCTCTGGCGCGACACCCGCATGAGGACGCGAGTGAAATAGACCAAGGTGGAATTTCCTAGGGAGAAGCTTCGGGGTGGTTTTGGTCCCTTTCTCCCGCAAAGAAGTAGACATGGCGAGTGATTCCCCGGCTCGCAGCCTGGATGAAATCGATCTCTCGGCTCTGAGGGTGAGCAGAACATGTTTTTCGATTTGTTTCTCGTGGTTTAAGTCCGGGTTGGATGGGTTCGGTGCGTGGATGGGGCTGGGACTGGTGGGCAGAGGGGGGCGAATGCGATGCAGGGGGGAACCTGGATCCTCGTTTGGTTTGGGAGCTGCTGAGGTGCTTTCGGCTACGTCCCCACGGCAGGGGCTGTGCCGTACGTGTCCTCCTTTGGCTGTGGTCAAGAACCCCCTGGGAGCGCGTGGGGCTTCTGCCAGTTTCATCTCAGAGCGGTGTAAGCGCATTAAAATGAAAGGCTCGTGTGTGTGTACACAAGCCCCGGGCAGTCGTCTCCTGCCAAGGCGCGAGACCTGTCTCTTTCTGCAAAAAGAATAACAACAGCGTGAATAAAGGCACTGGCCCCCCACGTTTTTCAGCTACCTGCAAAATGACATTTTGAGCCAGGCGGTCCCCACGGAGCCGAACCTGCCTCTCCAAGAAGGCAGCTATTGCTATGCTGGTCTTGTAGATGGCAACTGCCTCCCCTTCCCCCTTTCCTGCCGTCCGCGCCCGGACTCCCTCTCAGCGCTGTCTCAAACACCAGTCTGCCCCCTCACCTTTATCTGTGGTTTAACTCAGCCCTGCCTGTGCTGACTTTGTGGTTGTAACGTTTCAGTTTTTATGGCTGAACTTCAGCAGGTGAAAGGGATGTATTCTCCGCTTTCCCCCAATCAGACCGGAACTCCCGGGATCGTGAGAGAGAGAAAGAGAGAGAGATAGAGAGAGAGAGAGAGAGAGAGAGAGAGAGAGAGAGAGAGAGAGAGAGAGAGAGAGAGTGTGTGTGTGTGTGTGTGTGTTTCCCTGTGTCTGTGGCCAGCCCTTTGTAGAGCACTTCCCAACCCCCAGCCCCACTGAAAGTCTGCGTTTACCTTCTCGTGAATGGCCTCAGTCGCTGTTTCATTGTATTGACTAAGACATCACCCATATAGAATCCATTTTGCTGTTGTTTTGAGACCAGAATACCAGGAATTTGAGTGCAGCCTCGACGCCTCCCCACCCCCACCCCCCAATCCCACCACTGTCTGTCCTTCGGGGAAGCAGGCAGAGCTTTCTTGCCATTTTAATTAGATGCTGCCTGCCGGGAAGGGGGTGATGGGTGGGGGTGGCGACAGCAGCGGGGGTCTGAGAAGAATTGGACGCCAATTTAAAGACGGCTTCTTCCTCTCCTGAAGCAAAAATAAAATAAAAAAAAAACAACTGCATGTACGTGCAGCATGGAGGGTCGGTGAGGCCAAATTGATGGTGGCTGTCAACCCAGGGACATGCAGGGTGGGTGAGGCTTCGAAGTTCACACGCCCTCCTGAGGGAGTACATTGTTAAATTGATGCTAAATCTTGGGGTTATATACCTGCATCTTCAGTACTTCTCCCGACATTGCCCCCTTCTCCACGGTTATGTTAAAGAGCTGCCTCGATGGTCCAAGTGTCACTTTTTCTTTAGTCTCATTAATCCTCTCTTCCTACCTGCTCCCCGCCCCCCCTTTTAACTCTTCCTCCCCCTCTCCTTAATCCTTGAATCCAAGAGGTGAGGTTTCTGCGAGGCAGTCAAGGGGTTGAGGAGGAACAGAGATGCCATTTGTAACTGGCTTTTTTGATAGCTGGGCAGCAAAAGCTCATTCATGCGTTATTACAGTAAGCTGTCTATTTCCCTGGCACCGAAATGCCACATGCAGAACAGGGTGGGGGCTGGTAACAGGCTGGGTGATTTGGCCGCGTCTGTGGCTTCCTGCTTTACGGACTGTCATTTGCCCTACTTTGTGCGCTGGGAGTTGCTGCCAGCCAGTTAGCCAGGTAGATGGATGGTCCAGACTTCCGGGCAGGGGAAAGTGGCAAAGGTCAGGGAAGGGGCCTGGACAATGGGTAAGGCTGTGATCTCCCTGAACCGGCATCTCAACATTGCTCCCCTCATGAAAAGCGCCTTGATCTGATTTTAAGTTGGGCTTGGCCAGCGGGGTCCCTTGTCGTTTTTTCCTGGGAAGGTTTTTCAGAGCTACTGAGCACAGAGCCTATGAGCAACTATGAGGGCTCACCCGCTGGCCTGGAGTGCGATTCACACATGGGAAACCAGCGCCTGAGATCTGTTTTTCGAAAAGATAACTTTGCAATTTCAAAATTCACTGAAATTGTTCTTTGTGGCTTGTGCTCGGTGCTCTGCCTCTATTTCTGCCTGCAAGAGGTGTGGAAAGAGGAGGAGCCAGGCCAGCCCAGGAGGCTGGGGAACTGCTGGCTGGAGGACTTAAATGCAGATGTGGAGACAGTTGGAGGGCTGGGGACCAGTCTCGTGGTGGGTGATATGGGCATGGTAGGAGTGGGTCCAAAGGCCATATAAATAATCTCCACAAATCAGAGGGCAGGTCATCTATCTCTGTCTTCTACAGTTAGGAGAAATGAGCTCATCTAGAGGAGAGGTCTCATTTGTTCCTAAACTCTCAGTAAAGCCTGACTTCTGAGAACCTTCTGGGAATGCCTGACCCCTGAAATGCAGCCAAGGTCAGTGGCTTCTAGGAGAATTTGCTGCAGCCCTACCAGTCCCTTGCTGTTTCAGTGGCTCTTTAATGTACACAATCAATGCTCTTTTTGTCAACGTTGCACTCAGTGCACTAAAAGCAGATCCTGTCTGGAGAGGCCTTTATCCTTCTTGTTTTGGGGGCTTATTGTTCTCAGTCAGTGATCCCAGACTGGACCCCGTCTAAATTTTCCCTAAAAAGCAACAATGCATAATTTAAACCAGAGCAACCAGTAATAGTACTGATTATTTAAATTATGCAAGATGTGGATGGTTTTTAAAAGTAATATAAAACAGAATCTTTGGTTAGGAAAGAGATGATCTTAATCCATATTATTAGTCCTTATTTTTAGAGCTCTGGAGAGAAACTACATCTTAGGGGATGGGGTGGGGTGAGTGCATTGATTTAGAACTGGAAGAAAATCATAGAACACTTAGCCCCTCCTTTCATTTAATACTTGGGAAGCTGAAGCCCAGAGAAGTGAAATCCATTGCCCAAGGTCACACAGCCCCTACCCCCTTACCTCTTGGGTGGTTTGAAGGTGGTATTTGGTTTCCTGACTCCTCCCTCATTCAATGTTGTTTGCTCTCAGTCACACTGTCTGTGCTTGAATCAGAAATCAATAATACATTTTCTGTCTGAGCACACAAAAAAATGGCAGACAGGAATAATTGCACCAGGATCATGGAATTTTATATCTTGAGAATAGAGAAACTGCTTTATGCAGGTAAGCTCATAAAACACATACCATGGAGCTTTAAGGTGCCTATGGAAATCATCTTGTTCAATCCTCCTTCAATTCCTTGTCTGCAGGCAAATGGCTGTCTAAATTGTCTAGGATAGGTGTTGGTCCTGTGTGATAGCCTCTCTCCATAACCCATCTCCATCTGAACATGTCTGAGAGGTCATCTAGACATGTACACTGTTCAGATGTGTCTGCATGTAAGGTTTATAGCTTCCGGTATGCTTTGTAGAATCTGTGTGGTGCCTATATATAGTATTATGGATGTAAACTATCCATGTGGCTATATGAAAGTGTGTCTACATGTAGGCTACAGAAAACAACCTACTCATTCAAACCCAGGGCTTGAGTTCAAGGCATCACAGTATTGACAGAAATGAAATTTGCTGCCAGTATGCTTTATTACACATGAAGTGAGATCAGCCCAGAAAGCTTTTTGGAGATTAGCATATATCTGAATCTGACCACTTTGGCTGTCCCTAGCTTGGCCCAAAGAGTAAGACATTTAAGGCCAAGACTGGTCGCCGCTGACTTCATACTCTTGTTTCTGCCAGGACTCACACTCATTTTTCTTTTTGAACAGATTTGGATGACCTCTGCTTGTCTTTTCCCTGACTCCTCACTCCCTTCCTGGGGCCTAGCTATTTCTTTCTCCATCAAAACCTATTCTTAAGGGTGGGGGGAGGTAGGAGAGGGTAAAGGAGAGGATAAATGGTGATGAAGGAGATTTGACTTGGGGTAGTGAACACACAATACAATATATAGATAATGTATTATAGGATTATATACCTGAAACCCATTTAATTTTATTAACGACTGTTACCCCAGTAAGTACAATAAAAATTTTAAAAAACACAACTAGATTTAAGAATTGACCACATCTGGAAGGCTTGCATGCATCCTTCCCACTATACTTTTCATGCCTGTGTTATAAATGGCATGTAGTTTTCTTTTGGCCTCATCACTAAACTGTTAGGCCAGAAGCTTGGTCTTGCTCGACTTTGAGTCCATAGTTCCAGTTAGTTGAATAAATGAATAAATGCATGAATGAGTGAGTGAGTGAATGGAGTGAACTGAGTACCAAGTTCTATGTCCATGTGTTAATAGTTTTGGAAATGATCCCAACTGCTTGCCTTCTCATACACTGGTTTTTTGTTGTTTTTTTTTATATTTTTTAATTTATTTTTATTTTATTTATTTCACATGCCCGTGCTCAACTCACTGAGCTACACCAGCCAGGGCCTCATACACTGGTTTTAAAAATCAAATTATTGATTTTTAATCAATAATTAAAAACCCCTGGCTGGTGTGGCTCAGTGGACTGAGTGCTGGCCTGCGAACCAAAGAGTTGCCAATTTGATTCCCAGTCAGGGCACATGCCTGGGTTGTGGGGCAGGTCCCCAGAGGGGGCGTGCGAGAGGCAACCAAACACTGATGTTTCTCTCCCTCTCTTTCTCCTTCCCTTCCCCTCTCTCTGAAAATAAATAAATAAAATCTTAAAAAATTCAAATTATTTATAGCGATGCTTTGAAAACTATAAAGCACTATACCAGTATGCTAGGCCATGATTAAATAGAATTTTATGGGAAACTTGATTCCATCAACATTTGATCCCAATGATTACACTTAATTGAAAATGATCCTGAGAAAAATGTCCTACATCTCTTTAATAGTATTTTTTCCTTTTTATATTTCGGTTTGCCCTGGTACGTTTCTCTG